AAATGTAATTTTGTTGTCGTTGTTAGGCAAGATACCTTATTCCACAAGTATCTGTTTACCAAGCAGTAAGTAGGAACCCAGTTGTTAGTCGATGGAGGATCGCTTTCAGGGGATGATAATCCTTTCAAAAAAAAATTAAGTCATTCAATCCACGACTGTTTGTGGGACACAGCTGTGCAGAATTGGCTGCCGCATTTCGTCCACAAAATACAGTCAATCGACTTTGCAATATATTCTGTGAAGCGCTTTAAAACGTCTCAAAGAAGTGATAAGGCGCTACATCAAATGCAATAATTATTATTGTGGGGCCTTGCTGTGTGCAGATTGTTTGCTGTGCTGTACTCCTGTCAGTGCACGTGACCACACTTGCCTGTGGAGCACTTTGAAACATTTGGATACTAACAAATTTATAAGAATTATTATTCATAGGAGGTGGGGTAAAAAGTGCTCCCTATAGGAAATATTTCACCCCCTATTATTATAATAATCTTACATTTGATATAGCACCTTTCACACCAGGAAGATGCCTCCGAGCGCTTTGTGGAGTCCTGTAGCTCAGTGGTTAGAGCACTCGCTTTGCAAGCGAGAGACCTGAGTTCAATTCCCGGCAGGGCGAAACCTTGGGCAAGTTTCCTTACTCCACACGCCTAATAATAATACCTCCAAAACCAAAACAATAATAAATTGGTCATTTTCAATCTACGACTGTTTGTGGGACATTGCTGTGCACAATTGGCTGCCGCGTTCGCCCACAAATGTACTCTCAATTCATTTTACAGTGTGTTCTGTGAAGAGCTTTGGGACGTCCCCTCGACGTGAAAAGCGCTATATCAAATGCAAGGATTATTATTATTATTTGTAGGAAATGCTGTAAAGTGTAATGACTGTATTTTGTAGATGAACGCAGCAGCCCACTTACGCACAGCAACATCCCACAAGCAACCATGAAGTGAATGACAAATTTTATTTGAAGATTGTTGGCCAGGACTTGAGGAGAAACTCCCTTCTCTTTTCAAACAGTACCATGAGATCTGTATCCAACTGAACAGGCAGATGGGATCTCGGTTTAATGTCCCGTGGAAGAAGATGACACCTCTGATAATACAGCACAGCCTGGCACTGTGTGTCCAGTGTTATTTTAGACAAGAGTGCTACCAACTGAGCCAGACTGGCCCAGTCCTGAAACTCCGATCATACGTTCTGAGCTTCACTGTGTATGTTGTGTTTCACGACTGGTATGCATAGGGTTAAATGGTTTCATGCAGAAAAATCCCTTCGAGCTGTTATGTTCTTTATGAAGCACTCCAGGATAGGGCTAGATGTGAAATGTAGATGATTTGAAAGTGCTCTCTGATGTAGAGATTGCCTTTTGGCTGTTGATGGGAAGTCTGTGTTTATGTGCAGTCCTCTGTGTGTGTCAAACACCCAGAGCTCAGATCAGTATAATTTAAACAGATGTGAACTAACATCCTCTGTGCAGTATATGATGGTTTACACTGAAATGTACAAACTACAGCAGTGGATTTATAACTAGTGGGTTGCTGGTCATTAAAGGGCAATGCACATTCTTCTTCTATATTTTGTATCCATAAACACCAACCTTGGTTAGATACAATGCATCCTGGCCTTCGATGCAGCATTTCACTTTGGTAATGGGACTGTACATATTTGTGCATCCGTCATCTGGTCTTTATTTTCCATTATCTTTTGGGATTTTTTTTGTGAATAAAATCCATGTGTTTGCAAACCTGATTTAAGAATAGGGTCAATGGAGGTGGAAAGTGGAGGGGTCACATCCTGCCCACCCAAAGTGATGAATGTTTAAGTGTCGCAAGGACTGTAAATTTGACCTCCATGTGCGTTCTCTCAGTTTCACTCAGCTTTTTGTTTGGATGCACAAGGTCTTACCTTTGATTATATATTGTTAAACGCAACGCTTTCCGCTCAATGCTGAAGAGTCCAACAGCTTGCAATTTTTTTTCTTTATTGTATCAATACTGATGTCAACCGCATTTGCTGGCACTCTTCATCTGAGTCATTGGGTTGTGGGTTTGAAGTCCCACGTTGGGACTTTGATCTCCTGATCTAGGGCAGGATGGTCCAACCCTTTGGCTGCTGAGGGCCGGATGCCGTATTTGAGAAATATCGGCGAGCTGCATGAGGAATATTTTATCCTGATTGGCCAGTCCCATTGCCGAGCAAAGCCGGAGCCCCTGGTGACCATCCCTGATTGGCTCGGGGCCTGCGTGTCGTCCGTATTTGCTCGTCAGACAACAAAGTTGCAACTGGTTCAGGGGCCGGATGTGGCCCGCGGGCCGCCAGTTCATGGAAATGTAGAATTATACAGCACAGAAGGAGGCCATTCAGCCCATTGTGTCTGTGTCGGTTCTTTTAAAAGAACTATCCAAATCCAAATCCCACTCCCCCACTCTCTCCCCATTAGCCCTGCAAACTTGTCCTCCCCAAATAATTATAATTATCAGTTGGACCACCCTGGTCTAGGCTGACACTCTAATTCAGTTCTGGGGGGACAGTGCATTGTCAGAGATAACGTCCTTCAGATGAGATGTTCATCAGTTTATTCACGTTAATGATCCAATGGCATCACTTGAAAAGAGAAGGTAGTTTCTCCTGGTGTCATGGTCAACAATTCCACAGAAAGTAATGGTCATTCACCTCATGGTTATTTGTACGTTACAATGTTTCCTTGCCTATTTGCCTATAAAATACAAAATACACAGTCATTGCATTTCATAATACAATCCTATGAAACACTTTGAGACATTTCAACATAATAAGCTCCAGTATCAAATACAAGAATTATTGTTACTGCTGGGGAAATAGCTCCAATAATCTTTCATTTTACTCCTAAAATTCAAACACATTGTCTGGGATGTACTTTTTCCTTCCTACATTCTGACTGTTAGAAATTAAATCTCTTACTCATTCTTTGTCAAGGTCTCAAGATGTGGAACTCATCATCTCTCTTCTTCCCTTCCTTCGACAAATTACAGGCTTTTCAAACCCATGATAAGGGTTACCTAACCACTACTTGATTTATCAGTTCTCTCCTACTCTTTAGCCTTCATGTTGTCCTTCAATGTGGTTCTTGGCAGTTCATGTTGGTTTCTTATTAAAAGAGAGTGTCCTTAAATGCAGATTATCCATTCCATGTTTTATTATGTATTCGTGTTCTCTCATACACCTCCTACCACAGACACTGATATATTCCCCTCTGAGGCTGCGTCTTGTAGGATAGATAAAGTGCCACTCATTCACCAATGTAATCAGGATGGCACTCTTCATATTTGAGGCCTGTTAGCTCCTTGTCTTTGTTTAATTCTGATTGGGGAGATTTAGTCTAAGATGATGCTCCAATGCAGTGCTGAGAGTGTGCAGCACTGTCAGAAGTGCCGTCCTTCGGATGAGACATTAAACTAAAGCCCCGTCTGCCTGTTCAGGTGGTTGATAAAGATATCTCGCACCACTATTTGAAAAAGAGGAGTTTCTCTCCCAGTGTCCTGGTAACAATCACCCCAAATAAAATCAGCCATTCACTTCAAGGCTGGTTGCGGTACATTGCTGTGCACAAATTGGTTGCCTTATTCATCCACAAAAATACACAGTCGGTCCTATAAAGCACTTTGGGACGTCCTCCTGATGTGAAAGGCGCTACACCAAATGCAAGGATTATTATTACTCTAACACTGTGCATTGGTATTTAAATTTATTGTGTAATGAGCAAAAGCAATGGCTTAAAATGTGAAAAGATTCACTCAGTTACAAATGTAACATCCTGGCACAACACCTGTGCTTTATAACCCCTTTAATACACCAGCTGTAGCCTTTTAAACAGCAATAGCAACTTGCATTTATATAGTGCCCTTCATGCCAAACTCTAAAACAGCATCTGTGCCCATTTATAATAATAATAATAATCCTTGCATTTGATATAGCGCTTTTCACATCAGGAGGACATCCCAAAGCGCTTCACAGAACACACTGTAAAGTGAATTGACTGTATATTTGTGGGCGAACGCGGCAGCCAATTGCGCACAGCAATGTCTCACAAACAGTCGTAGATTGAAAATGACCAATTTATTATTGTTTTGGGTTTTGGAGGGATTATTATTAGATGTGTGGAGTAAGGAAACTTGCCCAAGGTTTCGCCCTCTGCCTGGAATTGAACTCAGGTCTCTCGCTTGCAAAGCGAGTGCTCTAACCACTGAGCTACAGGACTCCACAAACTTGTGCTATAGCAGCGGTGACTCTATAAACTCCCATTAAAGCATCCTTTAAACTCCACACCATCATCCTTTCAACTCCTGGTACAGCAATGCCCCTTTAATCTCTGGGTACAGCAGTCGCGCTCCTTTAAACTCCTGGTACATTGTTCAGAAATGTCTGTATAATTCTAAATAAGTTTACCATTTTAAATAGGTGACATTGACTGGAGAAAGGAAAGCCAGGCATTGTTTTTGTCACTATACCTTTGTGAAACAGTAGTAATAATATTCCATGCATTTGATACTGAGCCTTATCATGTCGTTGAGACGTCTCAAAGCACTTCACAGGATATACTGTAAAATAAATTGACTGTATTTTTGTGGGTGAAACGCGGTAGCCAATTGCGCACAGCAGTGACTAATTTTATTTGGGGGATTGTTGACCAGGACACCAGGAGAAACTCCCTTCTCTTTTCGAATAATGCCATGGGATCTTTAACATCCACCTGAACAAGCAAATGGAACCTTGGTTATATATAAAAAATAATCCTTACATTTGATATAGTGCCTTATCACAGCTTTAAGATGTCTCAAAGCGCTTCACAGAATAAACTATAAAGTGAATTAACTGCATATTTTGTGGGCGATTTCAATAGCAATCTAATGAATATAACCTTGTTTTGCGAGTGATCTGTTAGGTTTGTTTTTCAACTGCTGTCTAATGGTTTTAGTAGGAACTGAATGTCCAGCTCATCACAATGTGTTTGTTTGCAGTGGGCACGAGATGAATTTGCAGGATTGTTCACACAGCCAGCAGAGAACGTCAACCAGTACTTCCAGTAAGTATTATTTTGTTTCAAGTTTATCTTAGCCCTTTATGTGAAAAAGGAGTTGGCTGAGGCCGGGCAGATAACGCACGTTGAAATCTGGTCATGGTTAGGATTAAATTAAAATTGATTTATGTCTCTGCAACGGGCAGAATTAATGAAATAAAGAGCGTTTTCAGTACGTATTAGAAAACGTTATCAGGTTACAGTTCCATATGGAGCCTTTCCTTTCCCTGGAATCGTTTGAACAAAAGGAGAGACGGTTATTGCCAGATGTGAGTTGTGTAGAGCAGCAGCTGGGTCTTGGGATTGCGGTGGGAGGGGGTAGGGGGTCGGGATGGGGTTGGTGGGGGGTGGGAGAGGAGAAGGAGTGAGGGAGCAATGGTAGCCTCCCCATCTGGAACTGTCAAATTTGTCTGCGTCTCCGAGCAGGAACAAGCTAAAGTAAATACAAGTCAAACTTGTTTGGCTTTCTCTGCTCATTTTATTGCAATAAGGATCTAATTCTTGGGACCAGTGCCCACTTACTTCAGCTTTGAGTCTTCCCAGGACCTAAGCTGCTGAGCCCTGCAGTTTTCTTTGAGGTTTCAAACTAAAATATTGTCTTAAAAGGTAATGGTCTCAATGAAAAAAATCTATTTAACTCAACTTCAGTTAAGTAAGCAGAAGTTTTACACACTGTAAATGTCGAACAAAAGCAGTTCCGTACACATTACATTTACACACTTCTTCCCTTATGGGTTGCTTCTTTATAACTAATCCTGTGAACCTATCCTTTCCACCAGAACAAGCTAAGAAAAGTAGTAAACAGTGAGGAGGATAGTAGCAAACTGCAAATGGACATAGACAGACTGGTAAAATGGGCAGACAGGTGGCAGATGAAGTTTAATGTGGAGAAATACGAAGAGATGCGTTTTTGGAGGAAGAATGAGGAGAAGCAATATAAGCTGATGGTACAATCTTAAAGGGAGTGAAGGAACAGAGAGACCTGGGGGTTCAGATAAGTAAATCTTTGAAGGTGGCAGGAAAGGTAGATAAAGCTGTTAAAAAAGCATACGGGATACTAGGCTTTATAAATAGGGGCATAGAATACAAAATTCAGGAAGTTATGATGAACTTTTATAAAATACTGGTTAGGCCTCAGCGAGAGACTGTGTTCAGTTCTGGGCCCCACACTTTAGGAAGGATGTCAAGGCATTGGAGAAGGTGAAAAGGAGATTTACCAGGATGGCACCAGGAATGAAGGACTTCTGTTATGAGGAGAGGTGAGAGAAGCCGGGATAATTCTCTTTAAAGCAGAGAAGGTTAAGAGGAGACTTAATAGAAGTTTTCAAAATTATGAGGGGATTCGATAGGTGAAACTATTCCCACTGGCAGGTGTGTCGGTAACCCGAGGACACCGATTTAAAATAGTTGTTAAAAGAAATAGAGGTGAGGAGAAATGTTTTCACACAGCGAGTTGTTCTGATCTGGAATGCATTACCTGAAAGGGTGGTGGAAGTCAATTCGATAATAACTTTTACGAGAGAAGTAGATAATTATTTGGAGAGGACAAGTTTGCAGGGCTATGGGGAGAGAGCGGGAAAGTGGGATTGAATTGGAAGCTCTTTTCAAAGAACTGGCACAGACACGATGGCCCGAATGGCCTCCTTTTATGCTGTATAATTCTGTGATTCTATGATTCTAACAGATATAGAAGAGGTGGTCTCACTGTGTCGTTGAATAGAGGCAGGGACTTCTTCAAAAAATGTCACTGTGCAGAGGCAGGATGTAAAGTCCAGAAAGTGAGGCACAGTTTTTACAAGATCAGAGGAGAGGTTTGGATAAAGAAGGCTCCTTGGCTTTAAGAATACTGAACCTACCATCCCCACATCACAGCAACACGTTGTTTAAATGTCCTGAAATTTTAACCTGTTTTGGTGCATTCCCCCAAAAATCTAAATATTACAATATTTTAATTTGGTAACTCGATACCACGTTTCGCCCACAAAACACACAGTCATTACACTTTACAGTAACAAAAACAGAAGTCGGTGGGAACAAACAGCAGGTCAGGCAGCATCTATGGCGAAAGGAAAGTGGGTCAACGTTTTGGGTCCACGACCCTTCGTCAGAACCCTTCGGGTCATGGACCCGAAGTGTTGACTGTTTTTGTTTCAGATTTCCACCATCCGCATTATTTTACGTTTTGTTTACTCTTTACAGTATATTCTGTGAAGCAATTTGAGACGACTCGACAACGTGATAAGGCGCTATATCAAATGCAAGGATTATTAATATTATTATCCCAAACTATCGTTCTGAGTTGACGTTTTCAATCGCGTTTAAATTCTTAAATACATTTCTATAAGGTCAACCCTGAAACCACTCATTTCAAGACTTGAAGAGCCCTCGATTGTCTAATTGTTACACTGGTGATCATCCTTGTTGCTCTCCGCTGCACAGCTCTAGGGCTTGGGCAGTTTCGGATTGAGAGGTTATTTGTAGTTGGGTAACGTGACGTGGTTAAAAATGTTTTTGATTTGCTGGAATTAATTATATTATACATATGAAATGGGTAATTTGCAGTGGATCATGGTTGCACGCCTCTCTGTAGGCATCCCACAGCTACGCCAATTAATACAGACATGCGTCACCCAATTATAATACGAAATGAACAACATGCTGAAAGAACTACTTTTCCTGCATGGTGTATAATCTCGTTTGCCTTTATTTCATTTTCTCCCCTCCTCATCATGTGACCCCAATCATTTTTTAAACTAATAATAATAATCATTTAATTTGGCGCAATGTCTCAAAGCTCTTCATAGAGTATACTGTAAAGTGGATACTGTGTATTTTGTGGGTGAAATGCGGCAGCCAGTTGCACACAGCAATCTCTCACAAACAGCCATGGAGTGAGTGGCCAAATTTTATGTTGGCCGGGGCACCAGGAGAGAGAAACTCGTTTCTCTTTCGAATAGTGACTCTTTAACATCCACCTGAACAGGCAGACGAGACTTCAGTTTAATGTCTCATCCAAAGGACAGCACCTCCGACAATGACGTGCCAGCCTAAACCATGAGCTCAAAGTCTGAATGCGGTGCTTGAAATTCCAAACTTCTGACCCAGAGCTGACATCTGGATCACGAGGCTTTGGCAAGTTCTGTCCTTTAAGTCACTATGTCTTATAAGATTTTGACCTGAAATCGCGAAGTCTTTTTCCGACAGCCGTATATCAGGAACGTAAGTTTCGACCCCAGTGAGTATAGAGGACGGGGAGGGCAGGGGACACTTCACAGCTAAACACAATCCAGGACCAGCATTCAAACATGCAACATTCTGGACTGGGAACTTTGTGTTGAATTGGATGGTGGCTTTGTCCATTATATCATTGGAGGAGCTTAGTGAATAATCTTTACACCGTTAAGATGTTAAACCAAGGTCCCCTCTACCTGTTCAGATGGATCTTAAAAAATCTCATGGCACTATTTGATAGCCAACTATCGCCAAGAAAAATTGGTCGTTCACTTCATGGCTGTTTGGCGTTATTGCTATGTGCAAATTCGGTGGCACGTTTGTCTAAAAATACACACTTACTACAATTCATTGTAAATAATAATAATAATCCTTGTATTTTATATAGCATGGTTAAGATGTTTCAAAGCGCTTCACAGGATATACTGTAAAGTGGATCGACTGGGTATTTTGTGGGCGAAATGCGGCAGACAGTTGCGCACAGCAATGACCCCACAAACAGCAATGGAGTGAGTGACCAATTTTATTTGGGGCATTGTTGGCTAGGACACCGAGAGAAACTCTTTTATCTTTTCGAATAGTGCCATGGAATCTTTAACAACCACCTGAACAGGCAGATGGGACATCGGTTTAACGTCTCATCTGAAGGACGGATAAAATTCATTGATGCGCTTTGAGATGTCTCGATAATAAGGCTCTATATCAAATGCAAGGATTATATGCAAGGATTGTATTATCATAAAAATGGTAGCGCTGCCCACTTACACAATTTTTGAATGAAGACAGTTCACCCAAAGTTTGCGCTGTAATAGTTTTCGCCCTGATACAGGATGATGGATTGAGGTGGGGTGGTGGGGTTTAAATGTTAAAATACTTTCAGGATTCTTCATTGAAGAGCTGACGTTTTGACTTTGGCCTCATCCATCACATGAAGACTGTAATCTGAAAGTCTGTGCCTTTTATAACCCCGTGACATGAACTTCCACTTCAAAGAAATTTCAGTTTTGTGATAACATTGAGCACCTTGAGATGATTCACAGTTGGTTCCTTCACTGACCTTGTTGTGCAAGCACATCATTTTCTACAAACGTTGGTAAATGACAGAAAGTCACTCCTTCATATTGCACTATATTGAGAAGCTTAACGTCTTGCAATAGAGTATTGATGAAATACTATAAATGAAATGTTGTTGTTGTTGTAGAGTAATAATTATAATAATAATCCTTGCATTTGATATAGCGCCTTATCACGTTAGTGGGACGTCTCAAAGTGCCTCACAGAATATATTGTAAAGTGGGTTGACTCTGGATTTTGTGGGCGAAACGAAACGGCAGCCAATTATTCACAGCAGTTTCCCACAAACAGTCGATTATTTTGGGAGAAATAAATAGTCATGGAATCTTTAACATCCAGCTGACTAGGCAGACATGACCTCATAGGAATAGGAACAGATGTAGGCCATTCAGTCCCTCGAGCCTGTTCTGCCCTTCTATTAGATTGTGGCTGATCTGTACGTCAACTCCAAATGCCTCATTTTAACACAACTGAAGGACAGCATCTCTGACAAAAACAAAATTCCACCATTACTGCACTGGAGTGTCAGCCAGACTGTGAACTCAAGTCCCAAAGTGGATCTTGAAACCATAAACTTTTGACCTGGATGTGAGAGTGATACCAGCTGAGCAATGCTGACAGATACAGAGGGTAAAACATTGTGCAACAATACAAGAAATGAGAAGCACTCAGAACGGGGCAATACATGTCATCCCTTTTGACATCCAATGTGGTGAAAATATTAAAAAGCTAATAGAATACTCTGGTCAAAGCAGTAGAATATACATCTACATATGTTATGCTGAGGTTTCACAGTGAAGTGGTCAGACCGTAGTTAAGTATAGAGTACTGTCAAATTTGGTCATCATACCATAAAAATGAGTAGTTCCATAAAATAAGATACAGAGAGGGGCAACAAGACACATCCCAGATGTGAATGGAAGAGGATATAAAGAAAGATTAGAGACAATTAAGCTTTACAGTCTGGAAGGAAGGGGTTTAAGGCACTTTATTGAACTGTATGAAATATTTAGTGGTTACAGATAAGGTAAACTCAGGGAAATGAAGCTTGTATTTTGAGACTAAAGTTTATTTGTGGGCAGCAGTTCAAATTTCAAAGGCCATTCTGCTTTTTTGTGGGGGGTGGGGGGATCTGGCTCTCAGAACATCTTTTGTCTCCTCAGTAACTGCTGTCCTACATCCTTCATATGTAAGACATATGTTATCAACTCAAAAGATTTAGCAGCATTTTGATGGCAAACTTTGCAGTATGGTTTTAACAAAAAGGCCACGGTTCTAGGTTGTAACAAGAACCTTATGCAGAGAAAATTGAAGGAGATTTGGCAAATGTAATATGCTGAAAGAGTAAATAAACCCTGTTGAAGATTACTCATCATTTGAGCGAAGCGTGATTAAATGGCATTAAATTCTATGTATAATTGAATAAATTCATAACATTTTCTGACCATTCCTCTGAGTGCTCCTCTCAGCACACAGGACACCAAAGGTATGGTTTAGAACCTCAACATTTTATTGGGAAGGGGAGTTCTAGATATGTAATAATAATAATAATAATCCTTGCATTTAATATAGCGCTTTTCACGTCGGGAGGACATCCCAAAGTGCTTCACAGAACACACTGTAAAGTGAATTGACTGTATATTTGTGGGCGAACGCGGCAGCCAATTGCGCACAGCAATGTCCCACAGTCGTAGATTGAAAATGACCAATTTATTGTACTTTTTGATTTTGGAGGGATTATTATCAGGCGTGTGGAGTAAGGAAACTTGCCCAAGGTTTGGCCCTGCCTGGGATTGAACTCAGGTCTCTAAATTGCAAAGCGAGTGCTCTAACCACTGAGCTACAGGACTCCGTTGTACCAGCAACTGATCAGCCTACTGCAGTGTCAATGTATTGGTAACTCCCACACACCACGTCATTCTGCTATAATCTAGGTTACTAACTGTTTCCAGAACTACTCATTAATGTGGAGCTTATGTGACAATAACAATAATAATAATAAACCTTTCATTTGATGTAGGGCCAGTGGAGTCCTGTAGTGCAGCGTGGTTTAATTGGCGGCATGAGAAAGCAGAGAAAGAGGGGAATTGAGAACAGCGTTTTGGGGTTAACTGTCAGCACAGAGCTTCCCTCAGCCACTGAGGACGGACACCGAGGACATGCTAACACTGAGGACAAAACCTAACTCTTTGACCACGCTTGCTGTCAAACTGTTTTGGGGACAGTGTTGTGCGCAATTGGCCACTGCGTTTTGCCCACAAAATATATTGTCAATTCACTTTACATTATTTTCTGTGTAGTTTCTTGAGACATCCCAATGCTGTCATAAGGTGCTGTCTCGGCAGCCAAAAGGTTGAACCACGCTGCTGTAGGGTATTGGTTAGAGCACTCGCCTCGCAAGCGAGAGGACACGGCTTGGATTCCCGGGCAGGGCAAAACTTTTGGCAAGCTTCCTTACTCCACACGTCTGTAAGTAGGAACTCAGTTGTCAGTTGATTGGCAGACTGCTTTTCTGGGGTTAGTAATCCTTTCACTCAATCTATTGTTTGTGGGACACTGCTGTGCGCAATTGGCTGCTGCGTTTTACCCACAAAATATACAGTCAATTCACTTTACAGTATGTTCTGTGAATCGCTTTGAGACATGTCAACAACGTGATAAGCCGCTATATCAAATGCAAGGATTATTATTATTATTGCTTCATCTAAATTACTCAAATCACCTCACAGAATTTACTGTCAGGTGTAGTGACTGTGTATTTTGTAGGCAAAAGCGCCAGTCAATTTGAACACTACGTTCTCACAAGCAGCCCTGAAGTGAATGACCAATCTTATATGGACAATGAGTATGATGAAACTGAATGAGGAGCATGTGTAGGGTTGGGAGAAGGGGGGGGGTGGGGGGAAGTGTTGATTTCTTTCAAGGATTACTTAAAAAGTGAAAGCTCTTGAGAGGTGATGTTCCGTTAAACATTTCAGGTTTATAGGAAGAAGCGACAGAAATGAAGTGCCTGGAAACAGGCAGTGAATTATGAGCTGGACAGCCACTAAATGTTGCCTGTTTCCTCTTTCCGCTCTGTGAACTCAGAAAAGACATCTGCAACTAATTTTCAACATTCACTCACTCGTTCCACAGCCGGAGGGATGGGATTCTCAAATGAGCTTTGTTTTGAGACTCAGTGCAACGAGTCTGTGCTGTCCAGCTGGTCTCCAGTTGGCAGAGACCTGGACCGCTGTTTAAAAAAAATATTTGTAACCAGTTGGTGATGAGCAAACTGGCTCAGAGTTTTGTTCTCCACACTTACGAGTTTGGTCGATAATATATAGATACAGTGAAATAATATCATGACTTTTAATAAGAGTTATAAATAAGAAAATTGAAATGTGGCGAAGGTGGAAGAAAACAGTCCTGGTCAGGGACCAGATGTGGGGGAGGAAGGACAGTTGGGGGTCGAACCAGATGCCTAGGTTGCACACTGGTTTGGTAGAGAAATAGAATAGAATAGAGGAAGCTGATTCAATAACAACTTTTAAAAGAGAAGTAGATAATTATTTGGAGAGGACGAGTTTGCAGGGCTATGGGGAGAGGGCGGGGGAGTGGGATTAAATTGGATAGCTCTTTTTAAAGAGCCATCATAGACATGATAGGCTGAATGGCCTCCTTCTGTGCTGCATAATTATATATTATATAATTTATAATTGTATAATATATATATTGGCTGCCGCGTTTTGTCCACAAATATATGGTCAATTCACTTTACAGCATATTCTGTGAAGCGCTTTGAGACGTCTAGAAAAGCACTATATCAAATGCAAGGATTATTATTATTATAATTCTATGATTCTATGAAGTCTTAAATAAGATATTCCTGAAAATCAAGAGACATGACATATACATACTGTATGATAAAAATCAACAAATGCAGAAAAATGCGATGCTAGACTCAGGCAATAGCACTCTTGCCCCTTAGTCAGAGGTTAAGTGATCATGACCTAGGTTCGGAGTTGGAACTCCTAGTCTAGGCTGACACTCCAATACAGTACTGGGGGTGTGTTGCATTGTGGCATGTGCCATTCTCCAAATGAGAGGTTAAATCGATTGTTCAAGTGGATGTTTTTCATGATGTCCTCGCCAACAATGCCTCAAATAAGGTTTGCCATTCACTTCATGACTGTTTATTGTTCGAAAATTGTACTTTATAGTATGTCCTATAAGACGTCCTCCCAATGTGAAAGCCACTAAATTAAATAGAACCATCGTATCTGTGTCAGCTTCCTTGAGAGTAATCCTTTAGTCCCATTTACCTGCCCTTTCCCAATGCTCCTGTAGCTGGCAACTTTTAAGACATCAAGGTATTTGTCTAACTCCCTCTTGAAAGTCAATAAGGATTCTGCCTGATCTACCACTCCCGACAGGGCATTCTATATCCTAACTACTCTGTGTGTGACTACTCTATTCTTTTCCTCCAGTCACGTCTTAACCATTCATCACTGGTGTTATCCTAATAAACCTCTTCAGCACTCCCTCTATAAATGCAAGGATGATTATTATAAAATCACTCTCCCTCATGAGATTTCTCAATTTCTGGGGTGTTTGAAAGAAAAACCATGTTAAAGCTCCATATTTGAAATAATAAAAATACTACTACTATTGCTACTACTAATAATAATCCTTGCATTTGATATAACATCTTATATTGTCGAGAGGTCTCAAAGTGCTACACAGAATATACTGAATAGAGAATTGACTGCATATTTTTGGGGCGAAACTCAGCAGCCAATTGGGCACAGCAATGTCCCACAAACAGTTGTGGAATAAGTGACTAAATTATTATTCATTTATTTATTTATTGAAGGGATTATTACCCGAAGAAAGCGTCCACAAATCGACAAACAACCAGGTTCCTACTTACTGCTAGGTAAACAGAGACATGTGGAGTAAGGAAACTTGCCTAAGGTTTCAGTCCGCCCGGGAATCAAACCCAGGTCCTCTCGCTTGCGAGGCGAGCACACTAGCATATAAACTGCAGGACTCCAAGGCACAATCCAGGAAGAATAAATTGTTTTAGATATTATTTTTAACTCGGCCTAAACCCTCTTTACACATAAGCTAATCTGCACTTATCTCTGTCTTCTAGCATTGTAATATTTGACAGCAAAACGTTGCCTGTGAAACTTCTGAGAGCACATCTTTTTCTCATTTGCTGTGATGTTTTGAAAAAAAATTCCAATTGCATGCAACTGCCCTCAACTTGACATTGAAGTGTACATTGAAATACATGAGGCATGAGTTCTGAGGATAACTGACTTTTCCCTTACATTAACCAGAGACTCTACCTTTATGGATCGGACATTGAAGCTGCATGAAGGTCAGGCTTTGGAAATCCTGGAAGGTGTTTACAAGAGCCTGGTGTCCGATAAACCAGTGACTTGGGATGACTGCGTGGGCTGGGCCAGAAGACACTGGCAGACACAGTATAGCAACAACATCCGCCAACTCCTGCACAACTTCCCATCGGACATGGTACGGAGATTGGGGAATGGGGGAGTGCGTGGGAAGGAGGCCGTCTGAGACAGTGGAATAAATCGGTGTTTCAGCACTCGGACTGAACCAGTAATTGCTTCTGGAGTTTTTCCGATGAAGCTTTCTCAGGGATTGAACAGTATTTGGTCAAAGAGCAGCTTTGTGGTGAAAGGGGTGACTTGAGGGTTATGTGAACTGTGCAAAACTATGCAAAGATGTTTTTTTAAATATATATATATCTATATTGCAAAGGACAAGGGCTGGGGAATTAGCTTCCCACTTCTTATTCTTTTAGCTGGCATGAATATCTTGTAGCTAAACGGATTCACTTTTGATCATTGTCCTGTAGCATATTGGTCAGAGCACTCGCTTTGTAGATGGGGAAATCCAGGTTTGATTCCCGGGTGGGGTGAAACTTTAGGCAAGTTTCCTTACTCCACACGCCTCTGTTCACCTAGCAGTAAGTAGGAACCCAGTTGTTAGTCGATTGGCGGATCACTTTCCGGGCATAATAATCCCTCAAAAAAAAATTTGATCACTCAATACACCACTGTTATTGCGACAGTGCCTTGTGCAGTTGGTTGCCGGGTTTCGCCCATAAAATATGCAATCAATTCACTTCATAGTATATTCTGTGAAACAATTTGAGACGTCTCAACGATGAGGCGCTATATCAAATGCAAGGATTATTATTATTATTATTGACAGCTTCCACCAGTGAGGCTGATTGGTTGTAGGTGAGCTTTTTTTTCTGAGAAGAGAGGCCTAGAGTAGTATTGAACCATCAGACCAGAAGATCGCAGGTTTCCTGATTTCAGGAGGAAGCAGGGGAGTGGTGGGGCAGAGGAGGTGAGGAGTGGGGGGGGAGAAACAGCTTCAATTGGCCTCGATTGTCCATGGCATAAGGGGGGAAACATCAGCCAAGGTCTCTCACCACAATCCAGAGAGAACTGTTTCAAGTTGCATCTGTGTATGGGTCTAGCTGTGAAGGTCATAAGTGAGCTGATGTAAGCAACCCACAACAAAAAGAAGCAAAAAGAATAAACTCCAATGCATTGTCAAAGAGGCTGTCTTTCGGATGAGATGTTAAACTGAGGTCCTGTCTGCCAGATCAGGTGGATGTTAAAGATCCCTTGGCACTATTTGAAAAGAGAAAGGAATTTCTCCCAGTGTCCCCAAATAAAATTGGTCACTCACTCCATGGCTGTTTGTCGGACATTGCTGTGCACAACTGGCTACAAGTTTCGCCCATAAAATACGCAGTCACTCCACTCTACATTATATCCTATGAAGCGCTTTGAGACTTCTTGATGACTTGAAAAGGCGGAATATCAAATGCAAGGATTATTATTATTATGGTTGTTATTATTAAGTAGTGGATGTTTTCAAGAGGAAAATATCAGAGTGGACAATAATCGCACAGAAAAAAAGGCGAATATTCCAAGCCAATTGCATTAGCAGCTAATCAAGGAACTGGTGTCACAGGGCACATTCCTTTGCACATGGGACCCGAGTTTAAATCCACACCAGATGACTTGAATTCAAGTAGTCTCCGAAGACTTTGAGGGTCTTAAAGTCGGTCTGTTTCAAACTAGTTAATGCTAATGGGTGTAAATCTACTGCACACAATGTCCCATTATCACTGATTGAGTCGTAGTTACTTCTCATGGTCACACTAATGATTGATGTGAAAATAATGGTCACATTGATCACTGGTAACCCAGAGAGGGGTAGCTCAGCTCTGTTCCGAGGCTAGGGTTAAGCGCTGGCTGCCCTTTCAGCCACTATGCCCCGAAACGCTGGAAAACTCTTCCACTATCAGTCTGCCTTGCCCCTTCCTTCCCTATCTTCAAGTTGCGCCTGAAAACCTTCCTCTTTGACGGTGTCTATGGCCACCTCACACCCGGCCACTGTCAACCACTCTGAGATGTTACCCTGCGAAAGGGTCTCTATGTAAATGCAAGTTGCTGTTGTTGTTTGGGACCATGTTTAGGAGACTCATGCTTCATACTTGTGTTGGAGTTTTCAAAACTGGCTGGCAAGAGGAAAATTCCCTAGCATTGGCATCCCTCATCTAAACAAGCATAAATTCTCTCCTGACTTACACTAAGAATGAAGATTTATTTGAGCAGAATGTCTTGTGCAGAGATTTATTACCAACGGGTTGTTTTCATGCAGTGTTAAACAAGCAGAACATCCAACTTCAAGTGAAAGAGCTAAGACATTGTGGCAAAATTGTTGTAAAACAGGCTGGATTTTCAGTTTGTGCTAACAATCTCCCTCTTGTACCTGCTATTTTATAGAGCGTGAGATTAATAGAACTCCAAGACCGCTTCATTCTGTATACCCATCAGCCACAATACTATACGTTTTTAAACAAAACTTATTTTCTTAAGAAAATCACACCACGCTCAAATTACAGAAAATTATATAGACTGATGAATTCACATCAATTGGAATAGGATCACATACTCCATCCTATCATCTATCTATATATAATAATAATCCTTGCATTTGATATAGCTCCTTATCACATCGTTGAGCCATTTCAAAGTGCTTCACAGAATATACTGTAAAGTGAATTGACTACATTTTGTGGGCAAAACGCGGCAGGCAATTGCGTACAGCAATATTCCACAGACAGTCATAGATTGAGTGATCAAATTATAATTTTTTAAGGGATTATTAACCCCCAAAAGCCATCCGCCAATCGATTAGCAACCGGGTTCCTACTTACTGCTAGGTAAACCGAGGCATGTGGAGTAAGGCAACTTGCCTGAGGTTTCGCCAAACCCAGGAATTGAACCCGGGTCCTCTCACTTGCATGGCGAGTGTTCTAACCGTTCTAACCATAAAGGAGCTACTTCTGCAACTCTCAGCTCCTTGCACATTGTGCTTCTTATCTCAGATTCTTAGATAAGTTCAGCATCTTACTGGAGATTCATCAGTAATGCCCAATTCTAGTTTTTTACACGAGTGAGTTTCACATCCGCATTCTAAAGAGAAATTGTGTTTCAAAAGATCATATCAGTCCTGGAGGCCATTCTGCTTGCGCCACTTCTTAAACCTTTATGGTTAGATTCAGCTGATTCAAAAAGTTACAATCTGAGGTCTGGTTAGATTTTAAATGGGTCTGTGGTGGTAGGAATCTCTCTTTGGATGGGCTACGATTGTAGCCCATTCTGCTTTATAAAAGCAGAATAACGTCCACAGGCCTAAAGCCTATAAAATACACAGTCACTACACTTTACAGTAAATCCTGTGAAGCATTGTGAGACGTCGTGCTGATGTAAAAGGGCTTGATCATTATTATTTTTTATGAAGTAGAATTTGAGAAAGTATCAAAAAATAGCTTGGATTCTATGCACATATAATTCCTTCTTCATGTTCAGGAGGGTAATAATGCCCCTCTCAGGAATCTGTCAATACAAACATTATTTATTCTGAAAGCTCTCTGTTAAAAAGGACTTCAGTGATGGGCTTCCTCCCAATTAACAGGGTCAGAAAATACTCTCACAAAAATTGCACTAAACCATACATTGTATGGTTGTATGTTCACCATCACTGATCCAAAAATCTTTCAGTGAGCTACCTAACTACTGTCATTGTATTTTTATCTTTCTAAGAAGGCCATGGACAAGAGAAAAAATTGTGTTTAGCCTTGAGCTATAAGATCCTTGCTATCTCAGTTTAGTAACAGTGAATGATTCAGCACAATAACTGTTGGAATGCAAAGTCTACAAGCCAATTAAAGGGCAGGAAGGGGCCAAGTGATCAGCTCCTAGTTCCTCTATCCCAGCATAACATATACAGCTATGTTCATTGAAGGCTTCGTAAATCGATTTTCATTTACCTCAAGGGTAAAGCTTGTTTTTACAATGATTATACAATGTCACATTTGATCTCGTGTAAGAATTCCTGATGTGCATTATTACTGCCTCTCTTGGACATGGGACCCGTTTCTGTTTGCTAATGTGTCAGATCTTGCAGATGGCAATTGGCCTTGGAGGAAATAATTAGTTGATGCATTGAAAACACTCTGAAGTGAGGGTGGATTTTTATCAGTGTTTACCTTACCCAGTCTACAGTAAATTTATTTCTCCAGTAACCTAAACATTTAAAAGCAAAGTCTAGGCTCTGTGAAAAAAAATTTATCACACAGTTTTCTCTACAGATCTAATGTAGTTGTGATTTGTTTCAATCACTTCATGCATTCCAGTTACTAAATGCAAAAATAATTCTTACATTTGAGTTGAAAATCTTGACATGGGACTTCAAAAACAGATTTAATAATAATAAATTGGTCATTTCAATCCATGACTTTTTGTGGGACACTACTGTACACAATTGGCTGCTGCATTTCGCCCACAAAATATACAGTTCATTTCACAGTATCTTCTGTGAAGCGCTTTGAGACGTCTCGAAGACGTGATAAGGCACTATATCAAATGCAATTATTATTATTAAGCAACCCACAACTTCTGACTCAGAGACAAGAGTGCTACCATCTGCGCCAGGCTGACACAGAAGGATCCACTCCCAGATATCAGTTGTTTGGGAGAATAGGAATTTGGGAGAATAGAGAAAAGTGACTCCTATCAGTAACTGGAAGTACATAATGCCAACCTGTGGGCAGGGCCGGATTAACCAAAAACCCAGGTAAACCAGGTTTATGACCTCAGAGTCTGAGGGCCCCGGCTATGATTGACGCCTTTACCTCCTGGCTGGACCTCTCTTCCCACCACTCTCCACTGTGAGGCTGTGCGGAGTGTTGGGAAGAAAGGCGGGGCTGGAGTTATTGACTCATATCTCCAGCTCCTGCCATCACTACTGCATTGCCTCGTGCCTGGTACAACAACAACAACAAAATTATATTCATAGAGCGCCTTTCACGTTGGGAGGACATCCCAAGGCACTGGATAGTCAGGGGTCAGGACCTGAGTATGGGGGAGGGGTGGGGTAGGGGTAAGGGAAAGCAGAGAGGTGGGAGGGCGAGCGAAGGCACGATCAAAGAGGAGGGCCTTGAGTCCAGCCTTGAAGGAAGCAAAGGAGGAAGCGAGGCAAAGGGACTGTGGGATGGAGTTCCAGTGTGTGGGGGCAGAGAGGCTGAAAGCTCGGCCACCGATGACAGGGTGGGTCGGGCAGGAGACATGGAGCAGGCTGGAGCCCGCTGAACGGAGGGAACGGGCAGGTTGGTAGGGAGTCAGCAGGTCAGAGAGGTAGGAGAGGGCAAGGCCATGGATGGCCTTGAAAGTGAGAACGAGGATCTTGAACTCGATCCTCTGGGGGATGGGGAGCCAGTGGAGTCGGGCGAGGGTGGGAGTGATGGGGTCACGGAGCCTGATGCCCAAGAGTACACAAGCTGCAGAGTTTTGTGTGATCTGCAGCTTGTCAAAGGAAGAGTTGGGAAGGTCGATGAGGAAGGAGTTTCCATAATCGAGCCTTGATGTGACGAAAACGTGGGTGAGGGTTTCACAACAACATGGTGAGTTCAAAGGGCCCCCAAATGTGATCAGGTTCAGGTCTTCCCCCCCCCCCGATCCCTTAATCTGGCCCTGCCTATGAGAACTCTGTTCCTTTGGGTCGCTATATAGAGAATACTGCAATTCAAAGCCTCGGTTAGAGTTAAAATCCCGAGGTGGGAAATTTTATTTGAATTCATTTGGAAATTTGAAGGTTTGCTTTACTGGTGGAGAATACTTCGAAAATGTTTCTGCATTGGAATTGGTATCTCTGCAATTCAGCCAACAGAAGGCAGTGTGCCTTTATCAGGTGGTGAGACTGCTTATCATCTCTCAAATGCTCAATGGCAGCTAACAGATACGTGAGAAATATCCTCTTTGAAATTTGCTTTAACTTTGTAGATAAAATAACAAACTTCGGTACTTCAGCCGGGTGTCTGATACAGTAGTAGCCAAACCCTACTGAGAATTCTATACATCGCACCTACACATGGAAATTCCAGAGATAGATTGTTGGAATGGAATGTGCTCTCTCTCCCTGGAGGAATCATCCTGCTTACCTAATTCCGGAAAATATTGGTGCAAGAGCCAGGTTGCCACGTTGGCAAGAGCCAAGGTTTGGGAATACCAGAGTGTGCGTTGGGGTAAGTGCTGGAGTCTATCCAGCTAAAACCACATTGCTTAATCTTAACCGCATGATATCACTCAAAGGCATGCTCTAAGGTGTTGGTTGACGCTTGTGATTCCCTCTTGAGAGACAGGCAATGGTTCGTTTAAGAGAGAGCCAGTGAATAAATAATAATACTACTTGCATTTCATATAGCTCCTTTCACCTCAGAAAAATGTCTCAAAGGATTATTACTGTAAATTTACTGTAAAGTGTGTATCTTGTTGGTCATCTGGATCTTTGTTTGTGGCAGATTTTCTTTTGTTAAACTTTGACTGATAAATTCCTAATCTTTTGCAGGTCACAGCTCAAGGAGTTTCTTTCTGGTCAGGTCCCAAGAAATGTCCCCATCCTCTGGAATTCGATTCGGCCAATGTAAGTGATAACTCTCATGTAATAGAATTACCTACTTAGAATCTCCAGTGGCAAACAGGCCATTTGGCCCAACTAGACTATGCCGGTGGTTACACTCCACATGAGCCTCTACCTCTCCTAATCCCCTGTTCTTTTTTCTCTCGTGTACAAACAAGAATCCCAACTGAATACCAGTCCAATCGTGGGATGACAACAATAATAATAATATAATAATAATCATCCTTGCATTTGATATAACGCCTTATCACGTTGTTGAGACGTCTTAAAGCGCTTCACACACTTTACTGTAAAGTAAAAGGCAAAATACTACAGGTGTTGGAAATCTGATATAAAAACAGAAGTCACTGGGAACACTCAGCAAGTCAGGCAGTATCTATGGAAAGAGGAAAGTGAGTTGACTGTGTATTTTGTGTGCAAGACACAGCAGTGTCCCATAAACAGTCAAACAATGTAGTCTTCCCATGAACAGAAATGAATTTTCCCACAATTTCCTTGCTCTTTTACCACTTTGTCTTCTGAAGAAACGTGGCATCAGCCCAGCCTAGCCCAGTTGGTAGCACTTTCGACTAGGTCAGAAGGTTGTGAGTTCAAGCCCCACATTGAGCTGAGTTTGGAGTCCACGCTGAATAATGCATTGTTGGAGGTATTGTACTTCAGAAGAGACGTTAAATCAAGGTCCCATATTCTTGTTCAGGGACATTAAACATCCAGCATACTATTTAAAAAATAGAAGGGAGTTACTTCTGTTTATTTGGTTAATAATTTCTCAGACTAACATGTAGCTGTGGAACATTGCTGTATGCAAAATGACTGCTGTAGTTGTCTACAAAAAAGAGTCATCACTCTTGATAACAATTACCTGTAAAGTGATTTAAGACATCTTAACATGATAAGGCATGTTATTGAATGTAAAGATATATCATTATAAGATGAGTGTTGGCAAGTTAATTGACTGCGGAGGGCATCATGCACTAGCCTAATCCTGTTCTAACCTGACTAAGGCCAATTGTAACATACAAACTGCTATCTTGGTTGGATGCAACTATTCAACAAGACATGCTGAGGTGAGTGATGGCTGATGGGCCTGATAGCAGTAAGTGCCTTTATCCCTTCAGCAATAGTCAGAGCTCCAGGAATGAGTTTTTAGTGGCTGATGTTTTACTATGGTTTAAATCTGGGTAAAACATGATCATAGGGTCCCACAGTTGAATATGCTGCAGAGAATTTGGGTCTTGAATCTCCTAACGGACAGATCCCAATCTACGCCAGGCCAACATGAGAGGCAAAGTACTCCAGGAAGGGAACATCGGAATCTAAACTTACATTTCCACTGATCTAGTTGGAGAGAAGCATTGTCTTGGAACGTCAAGACTTAACGGCCAAATGAACTGGTGATTGCTGAGGGAATAGGTCAAAAAATAAACAACCTAAAGGGTGTTGACCTTGGAGAGGGTTGTCTCAGATAAAAGCTCTCGCAGTCAAAGTCTTAAGTCAATGAAATTACAGTGAAAAGAGTACTTCTAGTTATATGACCCCTAAGTTGTTTGTGAGGAAGTTTGCAACATGAACGTTGCTGCTTTGCTTCGGAATGTCAGTCAAACGCTCGGTTCTCACGGGTCTTATAAGGCAAATGTCAATAGTTTATTCATAAACAAAATCCCAAAGAATGCCCAGTTCTTTGCTGAAGCTGTCTAATGGTGGTCAATTTCAAAAAATATGCCCAAATCTTATTTTAGCTCCCAGTTAAAACTGTTGCAGTGGGGTGGAGGGTGGAGGGTGGAGGATATCCAGTAGATATGGTGCAAATCAGTGAGATCATCACATCCCTGTGTATGGTTCTGGATGTAGCCATGGTGAAGGCGTTTTGTCGATGACTTTAACAGTTAACGTTTTCAAGTGTGTGAAGTTTAAGGAAGTTGATGAACTTAAACCGAAGTTTAGCTGTTGTTTTGTTGTTTTGTTTGCACTGAATTCTTTGAATTCTTTGGGTTTGACTCTAGCTGCGAATGGACGCAAAGCAGTGATGTATATGTCAACAAACTCTCACGTTTGAGATGTACCCAGGTCCCTCCTAAAGAATCTACAGACAAATGGAGCTTGGGTAGAAAACTGGGGAAAGGCTGGGAAAAGAGTTTGTAGCTGCCTATACCTCATGTTGCCATCTGCTAAACCCTACCATGTCCTGTAATCATAGAATTATACAGCACAGAAGGAGGCCATTCAGCCCATTGTGCCTGTCCCGGCTCTTTGAAAAGAGCTATCCAATTCAATCCCTCTCCCCGTAGCCCTGCAAACTTGTCCTCCCCAAATAATTATCTCCTCTTTTAAAAGCTTTTATCGAATCGGCTTCTACCACTCTTTCAGGCAACGCATTTCAGATCCGAACAACTCACTGTGTAAAAAAATTTCTCCTCACCTCCCTTCTGTTTCTTTGAACAACTATTTTAAATCGGTGTCCTCGGATTACCAACCCACCCGCCAGTGGAAATAGTTTCTCTAATGCACTGATGTTTTCAAATATGCAGACTGCAAGCATCAGTTGGACATTGACATATGCCTCTTTGGCCAGGTCTGGCCTTTTCATTGTTCAGATGCAGTTCCACTGGCACTGCTTATCCTGCGATATCCCACCCAAGCGGCCACTGTTCATATGTGAGCCTTTGTAGTGGGTACCACAGTTTGATGAATGTTATGGAGAATAGGTGCCATAAAAAAGGAATGCCTTCAATTCCAACATCTGATCAAGAGCCGTTTTACATCAAACAATTTTGATTCAAATTGAAACCAAAGAAGCAAATGATTAAAAACATAGCATTTTGCTCCTTTGAGGTGAATTTGTATGCTTCATTCTGGAATGGCGTTCCCCAGAGGATAGAGTTCCAAATTCTCATTCTCGTCTTCAAAGCCCTCCACGTCCTTGCTCCTCCCTACTTATATGGCCATATAGACCTGTCTGCTCCCTCCGCTCAGTGAGTTCCAGTATACTCCATATCCCCCGTCTGGCCCACCCCACCACACAATCGGCGGTCGGGCCTTCAGCTTCTCTGACCCCACCCTTTGGAAATCCATCCCACAGTCCCTTCACCTCACTCCTTCCCTCACTTCCTTCAAGGCCCGTCTTGAGACTCTCCTCTTCGATCGCGCCTTCAGTCACCTTCCTACCCCGTACCCTCCCTGCCCTCCACCCCACCTGATCCCAACCCACAGCTCGGGTTCAAATCCCTGACTGTCGAGCATCTTGGGACATCCTGCCGAAGTGAAAGGCGCTATACTAATGTAATTCGCCGTCGTTGTTGGAATGAGGTTTTAACCCATTTGAATCCATTTCTGGAGTGGAGTCCTATAGCAGATTGGTTAGAGCACTCGCCTCACATCTTCCAATAGGCAAGTTTCCTTACTCCACACAACTCTGTTTACCTAACAGTAAGTAGGAACTCTTTTTTAGTCAATTGGCGGATCGCTTTCCAGGGATAATGAACCCTTAAAAGAAAATTAATAAATAAATAAATGATAATTTGGTCACTAAATCCGAAACCATTTGTGGGACACTGCTATGCGCAATTGGCTGCTACGTTTCACCTGCAAAATATAGTCAATTCACTTGACAGTATATTTTGTGAAGTGCTTTGAGCTGTCTTAATGACATGATAAGGCACGATATCAAATGCAAGGATTATTATTATCATTGTTATTTCCTGCTTGGCAAGTCTCAGCCTGATTTGTGCACGTATTTTAAGCAGATGTGTAAGGGAGAGATCACCTGCTGGCCTCTTTTCCGGGGAATCCTGAAATGCAAATTCAAAGAATCAACATTTTTTAAAATTGCGTAAAATATTTTCAAAGAGAAAAATGTGCAGGAAACACCAGGTATTCTTTAAAACCATGCTTCAACTCAAAATCCTCCTATACTTTTATTGTAATGTTTCCTAAAGTGATGGAGAGGGCTGTGGCAGAAACATGTTCTTTGAGCTGAACTATTTTCAAGGTCAGGAGAGGTAACTTGGGTCACAGCTAATGTACAGCAGAACATCTGGACCTCTGGGGTGAACTACAAATCTGGTAATAAAGGTTTGATAGTTGAGTGGAAAGCGTAGCATTTTCGAAGTTTTCCAGAGAAAATATACTTTCACTCTTTGCAGCGGCTTCAAAGCAGTTATTTGTATAGCATCAGCCTGCAAAAGGTTCCCCCTAGATATTCCCAGTTTATCTCAGGACAAAAACCTCACATTTTGGTACAGCGTCTTTCACATTAATAAAACGTCTCAAAGCACTTCACAGGATTTATTGTGAAGTGCACTGATTGTATTTTACAGGGATAGGTGGCACACAGCAATGTCCTACAAACAGCCATGTGAATGCCAGTTTTATCTGGGTGATCTTTGGCCATGACACTGGGATTGCACCTCTGATAATGTAGGGATATCACCCTTAGCACTGAATTGGAGCATTAGCCTAGATTTTGTAAATTCAAAGTCCCGTCGTGGGATTTATACCCACAACTTTCTGTTTCAGAGGCGAGTACTACCAACATAGTTACCTGCTGATACTTGTGAAGGTGCTGACAGAGATGGCCAGAATTCATTCAGTGAGCAATAAAATACTGTAGTTCTGAAGAAAATTGGTTATGCCAGTCCAATACCGGTTAAACAGATATTGTCTCATTAAACTGATTAGGTTAGAAAACTCCTGAGTGAGTGTCGATACTGTTTAACTACCTTAATATTTGCCTCATTTATTAACAAAAAGGAAGTCTTAAAATCTAATCTTTGCATTTGATATAGTATCTTATCACGTCATTGAGACGGCTCAAATCGCTTCACAGGATATACTGGAAAGTGGATTGGCTGTGTATTTGTGGAAGAAACACAGCAGCCACAGCAATATCCCACAAACAGCCATGGAGTGAGGGATTCATTTTATTTGGGGGATTGTTGGCTAAGACACCGAGAGAAATTCCCTTCTCTTTCGAATAATGCCAAGGGATCTTTAATGTCCCCCTG